TTGACAGAGTTTTTCTGGGTAGCACTGTAGACTAGGCTGGCCTCAAATCTAGAGAACCACCTGCCTCTGCCTCCCTAGTGCTGGCATTAAAGACATTCACCACCACCGCCTGGCCTACCTTTATTCTTTTAGGCAAAGTCTCTCACTGAGCCTGAGGTTCATTCATTCCCAGGTACCCAGGTTGCAGGCATAAGCCATACTGCCTAGCCCTTTACATGGTTCTGGAGACCAAACTTAGACCCTTGTGCCTACACAGCAAGTACTGTACCAACTGCGCTCTCTCCCTAGCCCACAAAACAGAGTTATTCAGAGGATTCAGAACAGGACAGCTTGTGTTCTGTATGGGGTGTGGGATGGGCTTGGGAGTGTCTTCTAAATGTGGATCGTCTTCTTCTGGACTCCGCGTATGAAAACTTACGATCTTTATAACAGGATTTAGTGTCTTTTACTCTATACTCCAGTTATATCTATGATAGAAACAATGTCTGTGGGGCAATAATTGATCCCAAAGTCCAATAAAAATGTTGCCCAATCAAGAGAGTATTTAGAAAAGCAATTTTCAAATATTGGTTTGCAGAACCATTTGATGGAGTTTTCACTTCTCTCACTTGAAACAAAATAAAAACAGATGTAACTAGGGAATTTAGAGTACATTGCTTTAGCATACAAAAGCAAAATTTATAAATATGATGGTCACCCTTTTATTCTAAGTTTCATATAATTTTTTTTATTAAAGCTTCTCTGTGATGCACAGGGAAACTAAGAATGTATAGTAATTGTTTTTGAATCATTTTCACAAGCTAAATAAAAATTCGAATGCAACCTAAAGTGTAGTTTCCAATATTTTGGGAGAACTTGTTCTCCCAAATACAAGTCTGGGCAATCATTGGCTCCCAAGGTGAGCAGCAGAGTGGTACAGTGGGAAGAACCCTGGGTAGGGAAGCTCCTCGTCTCACAAGGTCACTAGTCATGGCGCTTTAGAGAGCTCCTTCTTGTGACTTGTGCCTTACTCTGCTCTCAGTGAACTGCGCCAGATGCTCGCTCAGCCCCTTCAGTTCAGAGTTCTGTCCTAACTCAGATGTAATTCCTAGACTTAGTGAATTTTGGCTTCCAGACTTAGTGAATCTCCTTTATCTGTTTCATGGACAAACAGCTCGAATGGTTTAAGGGTCTCTGAGAAGAGAACGCCCTTGAAAACCAACCAACATCTGCTCAATGGATGCTGAAGCGAGCCCATCATAACCTGTACTGTGGTGTGCCCGTGCGGCTGGAATGCCGACAAGAGAGTTCTGCCTTCAGGATCACGTCGCGCTTAGTCATATCACAACTGCCAAACAGGCAGTGAGCATCTGTTTATTAAAAAGAAATCTATTCCTCTCTTTTCTCTCTCCTTTGTGTATCTCATCCTTGCTGGAGAGATGGTTCAGAGGTTAAGAGCACTGCCTGCTCTTCCAGAGGACCTGGGTTCAACTCCTAGCACCCACATGGTGGTTCCCAACCATCTGTGATGCAAGTCTCAGGGGATCAGATGCCCTCCCTCTTCTGTCCTCTGTGGGTGTGAGACATGCATGATACAGAGACATACATGCAGGTAAAACACCTCTACACAAAACAGACAAGCCTGTTTAAAAACTATTTTATAAAGAAAAAAGACATTCCTTTGGATAGATTTTGATTGGTCCTTCTCTTAGGTTGTGCTGTGTTGGTCACGGGCTCTTGGGCATTTTACATGAATATTCTACTATTGGGGCTCACCGCTTCTTCATGCTATGAAGTACACATGGCTTTGATATTATTTTCTCAATGTATTACAAGCTAGGATAAAGTGCTTTTCTGATTCAGGATGGAGTCTGAGACCTTACTGTACACATGATAGCCAGTAAGTATCTGGCAGTTAAATCATAGTAAAAATGCAGTTATTCTGGGATTTTGTCCCACTTTAAATGTATCTAGTAACTGTCCTTTTTCTCCTTATTAGAAAAAAAAACAATTAAATATGCCCAGGGGTCTCTTGGTACAGCTACCGTGCAGTCTGCTCTGTGCTTCTGGGACTGTCATAACAAACTTGAGCACTCTCAGGGACTCCGATCCATCATCGTGGTGGAAATGTTTTACAACGATTTGGCCCAATGTTTGGGCAGCAGCTGCACTACTAGCCCGCCTGAGTCATTTTCCAGTCATTTTCCAGCCCTGTGATTCATCAATCTGCTTTTAGAATATTTGCCTATTTTTAAAGCCAGTCAAAGAAGGCAGCCACTGTTTAAAAGTAAACACCCCTCACACCAACACGGGGTAGCTCCGTGAGCAGCTCCTCAAACCCCGAAATTTCTGGCAGGCGAGGCTGCCAGCTAAAGCAGATGGCATGGAGCAGGGAGATGCCGGTTGGCGTTCAGAGCTGGTAGACTCCTCGCATCTGTCTTGGGTTTGCTTGTTTCCGCTGCTATTTCCTGCTTGGGTTAATCCAGTTTGATCCATTCTGAAACAAAAGTCTTGCTTTCATTCTGCTTGTCTGTAAAACATCCATTATGTCAACTAGCCTTTCAGTCAAAGAGGTCCCATCGCAAGCCTGTGTTTAGCCACAAATTAGTTTCATAGTCCTGCGTGGCCCAGCGCGGTTGGCTGTATATAAAGACATTGATTTCAACATTGCTTCATTCATTCTGGGTCGTATCAGGCTCTGGCCGTCTACAATATGGCAGGGCAATGAATGGGTAACAGCCCACTCTTTTTTTTTTTTTTTTTAAATAATGAAACAAGAAGGAGTGTGCCTGCACAGTGGGCAGGATGACTTAAGTGTCAGGCAGCCCTGAGCTGCACGCCTCAGTTTTTTTTTTTCTAGAATTCTAGCATGCCCTGTCTGTTTGTATTTTAATGGAAGCGACTTCTCCTTCCATTTGTCTCCTCATCTGCGGTAATCGGGGCTGGGAAGCCAAAGTACAATATGCTCTGATTTACTGTGCCAAATTACTCTGGTCCTGAACCTGGTGAGCTCAAATCATCGTGATGTCTAGGCTTTTGGAACTGTACTGAAGTATTAAATACACCCAAGACCCAAATCGGTCTTCTAAACCTTTTAATGGGAGGCTTCACTACAATGTGTCAGGTAGTGATGATTCTATATAGTTTCTTTGGCAATGATGGTGTGGATAGAGAAAGCCATAGGAACTGGCTAGAACTTACTGTTCCTACTCTGATAGGAAGGGAGCATCCGAGGGGCACAGGCTTTTTACCCTTCTCTGAAGCCCATGTTTAGGAGTACCAGTGAATCCTGGGCACCCACTGACCAGCCAACTGAAGTCAAAAAGAAAGTTTCATGTTGGTGATATATTGCCATTATTTTAGGTCACTTTTAAATGGGAGTATTATTTTAGTACTCTTGACCAAAATATACCAATTGCTATTGAGTGACCAGACCCCTGAGGGGTTTGGTAGAGATTAATACCAACCTTGTTTAAATCATCTCTCTGGATTGCTCTTCGGGCTGAGGAGGGAGGGGGACTTGATTGGGGGAGGGGGAGGGGGAGGGAAATGGGAGGCGGTGGCAGGGAAGAGACAGAAATCTTTAATAAACAAATAAATTAAAAAAATAATCTCTCTGGTGATTGTCTTCCATGCCTTCAAAGAGCTGTAATCCCCCAGAAGCCTCAAAAACCCTGTGTATTTACTACATTTTATTTTGAACCATGCTCTCAGTAAACCGGGAGAGGATATAGTCGGTTCTGTGTGTTTGCGAGTTTGCTATTTGGGATTAAATCAAGGGTAGGGAAAACATAAAACCATGTAAATACTGAACTGGTAGAGACATTTTCTTCTTGTTATCCCTTAACCTGTAGAATACAAGGATTTTCGTAGCAATCACATTGTACTTTGTTAGGGCTATTGAGAGATGAACGTATGTGTGAGGACACATTTAAGTTATGTGTAAACACTTCATATCATATAAAGACTTGAGTTGAGCTTCCTCTGACTTTTATCCATGAGAGGTCATGGAAGTAAATCTCCATGGAAACCAACCATGACTGTCCTTGTCTCTTTGTTGTGTATGGCCTGCATAATTAAAAATGAACATTAATTAGTTTTATCAGTGAATTTGGTTAAGTTAATAAGAATATAAAAAACAATGCATTTTCTTGCTTTATTATAACTTGAAATGGTTTTGGTTTTAAGTGTATGTGTATGTTTGTGTGTGTATGTTGTATTCTCTGGCATGTACGGGGGAAGGGTTTAGAAACGAATAGCGAGTATCCTTATGGAACTAAAGTTCTCTAGAGGGACAGATCCTGTTAAACAAAACACCAAGGCTGGATTAGCAGCCTCTTCTTGAAAAAAAATTGGGTAACTTGAATGTCAGAGGCAACGTTTCTGCCAAGTTTCCTCACAGGCTTCCAAGACTCTATTTTTTGAAGGAGCAAGAGCTGTTTTTTGTTTAAGGGACTGTGTAGGCCACCGAGGACACAGGTGCAGCAGTTGTGTGGCCTCAGGCTCGTTCAGAAACACAGCTGTGGATTCTGATCCAGGTTGGCAATGTTGCCCAATTCTATGGGGAGAGATTCCCTGTTGGGTCACTGGCTGTTACTCGCAGGAACCCCGAGTGAGGTCTGGAGAGCTGCCTGTAAACGGTGGATTGTGATAAGAGTGAAGGGCACAACTAAGTGAGGCTCCTGTTTTTCACACGTCCTTCTGCCCTGCTGAGGTTCCCTGGCCACCCCATCAGCACCTTGTTAAAGTACTTTCATGCATATCATAGTTTTTGGTTTGGGTTAATGTGACAGTATTAAGTAGCGCTTTTAAATTGGAGCGCTCCTAGAGTAGACATTTGAGGACACGCACACACATGCACAGACACACACACACACACACACACACACACACACACACACACACACAAAACACTTTAAAAAACTGTGTCAGGCCATCTAAGCTCTCTGTGCCCAGAAATGAAGGGTGATGCTCATGAGACACAGGGCATGCGGAGTAATCATAGTATTTTTGTATTTTAGACGATACACCATCCGAAGATACCATTCCTTTGGTCTTCCCAGAGCTAGAGCAGCAGCTCCAGGTAAGGATTCTGCAAATGTTTGCCTGGTTTCCTGTAGTGCCACAAACCCAGTGACCCGGGAAGTGGCAAAGTGGGAAAGATGGATTGATACGCAGGGAAGAGGGCTTCTAAGTCACAAACATTGGTATTTCAGAGCTCCAAGGTCAGATAGAAACAGTTATGGAAGGGCCCTGGTTATCCAGCTATGATACCTGGACTACAAATGCTGAGTGAAGTAGCTGGAGCTGAGACTGTGCCTGGTCCCACTTTCCTTTGCCATGATGTCTCCAGGCATTGGACTTTAGCTCCATTTTGGGTTAATGATTTAGTATTATACTCTGCAGAGAAAGTTCGTTGATGTGGGAGTCCCCTCTGTGTGCTCTGAATACCATTAATGAATTAAAAAAACTGCTTTGGATCTATAGCAGGGCAGAGCTTAGGTAGGTAGGGAAGACAGAACTGAATGCTGGGAGAAAGAGGGCGGAGCCAGAGGAGATGCCATGGAGCCTCTGCCAGAGTCAGACATGCCAAAACTTTGCTGGTAGGCAACGACCTCATGGTGATATAGAGACTAATAAAAATGGGTTAAATTAATGTAAGAGTTAGCCAATAAGTAGCTAGAGCTAAGGGGCCAAGCAGTGATATAATTAATCCAGTTTCTGTGTGATTATTTCAGTTCTGGGCGGCTGGGACAAACAAGTGGCCCCCTCTTTCAACAGTTTGTCATATTGCCAACTCTTTGGAATAATAACTTTTTTACTACCTGCTTCATTTCTCTGACAACGTCTAGTACAGCAGTTCTCAACCTGTGGGTAATGACTCCTTTGGGGTCATATATCAGATATTTATATTGTGTTATATTATTATTCTTAACAGTAGCAAAATTACAGCTATGAAGTGGCAATGAAATAATTTTATGGTTGGAGGTCACAACAGTGTGAGGAACTGTATTGAAGGGTCCCAGCTTTAGGAAGGCTGAGAAACGCTGCTCTAGTGGATTGGAGCAAGGGGGAGTTAAGACCTTCAGAAAATTGTTGGTTCAGCTGATGAGGAAATAGTTTCTAGATGACCTATAGAAAGGTCATCCCAGCAGACCACACCAGTAGAACATATCGAAATGGCTTTTGTTGTTTTTTATTTATTTGTTTATTTTTTAAAAAATGGTTTTTCTAGGGTTTCTCTGTGTAGCCTTGGCTGTGCTGGAACTCACTCTGTAGACCAGGCTGGCCTTGAACTCATAGAGATTCGCCTGCTTCTGCTTCCCGAGTGTTGGCATCACCACCGCCTGGCCAGATTTTTTTTTTTTTAAAGATGCTCATTTATCTTCTTTTAATTTTTTAGATGCTATATTCTGGCATTAGGCAAAGGAGGTTTTAAATTTATTTATTTATTTTTTTTGTATTTGGGGCTTCCACCTACATGTCTGCCTGCGTACCACCTTTGCGCTACTTACTGTCAGATCCCCTGGAACTGCAAGTGCAGATGTTTGTGAGCTGTCATGTGGTTGAACTGAACCTGGGTCTTCTAGAAGAGCAGCCAGTTCTCTTAGCGGCTGGGGTAGCATCTCAGAACCAACACCAAGCACTCAGACGTGGGGTATCATCACTCCCTTCCAGTGATGTTTACATGACCACCTATGTAAGGCTCACTAAAGATTGCACAGTAGGCGGAAAGCTATCAAGAGAGGATGCTGTAATCCCAAAGATGCCCTCTCCAGCTGTCAGTTACGTCTTCCTGTTCCTCCGTGCTCCATGCAGGCTCTTCTGCCTGGTTCTCAGGCTGCCGGTGTCTCATCATGCTCCCCTTACTCCCACACTGGTCCAGCATCTTTTCAGCATGGAGAGCTATTCAGTACTCCCTCTTCCAGGCAGGCTCCCTTTCTTTCACATGGCTTGAGTGCTGTCCTCCAGGGGCTGTCTATGGATACACCACTGGTAGAACAGTCGGGATCGTAAAAGGAATAGTTCCCTCTTTATTATACTGTCATCTCAAAGTTGTCTAATTGTCATAAAAATCATGTGAAAACAGGGGTCAGCGTGTTTTGAAAATATATCAGCAAGTCAATTCAGGTTCCTGTTCCGCCATGAAATTATGGATCATGCATCCTAAGGGTTTTGTTATTGCTGTTGTTTTTCCTTGTATGTATGGTGTTGGAAAAATCATTTTCCTCCTTGGACTATCAGCGTCTTCCTTGCCTTGTGGCTCAGGCTGTAGAGGATTTACCGCAACAGACCACACAAGTAGAATGCACACCGCACGCGGGTGATCCAGATAATTTTCTGTTAGAGTATCACCGAGTCCATTTGAGTTTTACAGCTTTAATTCTATATGACGTGTACTAGAAATTAAATTGGTTTAATTATTTTATTCCAGTGAGAAATTTCCGTCTTTGTTTTTGGTGGGTTAGACATCTGGATGCATAGTTTCTGCCTCAGGGGTTTTGAATTTCCTCTTCAGTGCGGTTATGACATCACCTCTTCCTGAACAGTAAGGACTTTACTAGCCTCACAACTAAACATGTTCAAGGACCTTTGGGAGAGGTGAGATGAGACTGAGTTTGTTATTAACGTTCACAAGCTGTCAAGACTTTTGGATAGAACTACTCGTGTCTAGAACTGTTGCTTATAATCTTTATTCTATTTTCCAAGGCATGAGTGGAAAAAAAAATACAGCAAGACAGCAAAGACTGAGGAGGGAAAGAACACAGTTTTTGTTCTCATGCTTATCAGAAGCATACAATTTAAAACCATTCTGCATCAAGAAGTCCTGTTTTAACAGCAATGAAACCACTTTATGTTCAAAAGAAACCTTCCCCCCTACTTTCAAACAGGGAAGAGGGGAAGAAGTCTTCTTTACAGTTAGACTCGAGTTCTTCTATCTTGTAGTTCTTTCTCTCTGACTGTCATAATCCACTATGGGAAAATAAACATCAGTTAGAAAGAAGAGCCTTGGCTGGGCGGTGGCGGCACACGCCTTCAATCCCAGCTCTCGGAAGGCAGAGGTAGGTGGATCTCTGTAAGTTTGAAGTCTACAAGAGCTAGTTCCACGACAGCTAGGGCTACTACACAGAGAAACCATATAAGAAAGAAAGAAAGAGAGAGAGAGAGAGAGAGAGAGAGAGAGAGAGGAGTCTTGTGGTTGTCACTATACAGGAGACTTGAAAACTCACCAAGCAGAGAACAAACAATGCCAGATGTTACTACGGTTTCCCTCTGCAAACCCTGGGAACAGTTCCACCACTGCACACTGACTCTGGAGTAGGCAAGGGCCATTTTTCTACATGTGATCTCATTTGACTCTTGCAATAATTATAGAAGTGGTTTCGTCTCCACTTTATACGTGAGAAACTTGAGGTCAAATTTTGCTCTAAATCAATTTGCTGATCTTTTGCTTAGTCCCTTTCATGGGGCACATGGGCTGTTTAAATTAGTTCGATAAGCTGAGATTTGTTTTGTTTCTGGTCGGCAAGGTTACTGTGATGTAGTTCTAAAACCGCCTTGTAAAACTTGCTGGGACTTTCTGATATCCTCTGCACATTCCTTGGTAATTTATAAAGTGTAGCTATAAAATATCTATTTGGTAGATAAGCTAACACCAATTTGACCCCCAAGTTTTTTTTCTGTTGCTTTGCCAAGAATGTGGACATGTTTGAACATGTAATTCATGATGCTTCTATTTTCACAGAAGCCAAAAAAAGCCTTGGGCAAGAATAGCAATGACAGACCTTTCTCTTGATGTCTCTATTAATGCAAAATTCTGGGTCACGGACCTCAGAGTAAGGTGGAATTAAATGAACATTATAATGTTCATTTCTAGGCCCCGAGCCTCTGCTGAAGGGCAGGTGGGAGGCTAATTTTACATTCCGTTCTTGAGCTTAATTTTCCAGATCTCTTGTGGGCATCAGGAGCAATATTTGGTATAGCAGGTTTAGATTATATGAACAGAAAAAAAAAGTGATATTCTATGTATACTTCAAGAGTAAAGGAAAATTTATTGCTTTTCTTCAGGAAAAAGTGGTTTTCTTCTGTTTGGAGCAGTGTTGATAGACTTCTTATCTTTTCTCTATCTGGAAATATGATGGGATTCTTTTATGGTCCAGTGCAAGACCAAGTCCATCCTACAGCCCAAGTAGAAGGGTTTACATTTTAGTCACTGTGGTTTAACACAAAGCTTGCTCTCTCCAAGACCCACGCTCATCAGCCGCTGTGTGGAGTTAACTACAGCTGTCTCATACTGTAGCAGTAATGAAGGATGGCACCGAGGAGGCAGAATGAAAATAAAAATTAAAAATAAATAATTGCTCAGTCAACATAACTAGTTTGCCTTGGGGCTGGAGAGAGGGCTCTGCAGTTAAGAGCACTGGCTGCCCTTTCAGAGGTCCTGAGTTCAATTCCCAGCACCCACCTGGTGGCTCGTCTATAGTGGAATCTGATGCCCTCTCCCACAGCAAAGGCATACACGCAGATAGAGCACTCATGTACGTTAAAAACAAATGGTCTTCCTTGGTGAAATTCTTAATTGGACTAAGTGATTTATTTCTTAATGCGTCAAGCAAAACCAAAGCTGAATGCCTTGGACTCCTTTTGGATGTTCTCTCCAGCAGGTCAGACACTTGGAAAACAACGATCTTTAAAAACAAAAACAAAAAACTAAATTGAGCAATAGTTCCAGCGCCTTTGTCCTCTCATCTGATGGGCTGGCAGCGACAGGTGTCTCCGTGGTACACACTGAACTTGCCTTTCCTCAGACAGGGTCCAGTAAGTCCACAATCTGATGTCACTTCTACAAATAGACGATTTCAGTGTCCCCTGAGGAGTGTAATATACCGTTATCTGGGCAGCCTCTCCAGAAACTTCTTTTAGTGCTTACCTCAGTTTATCATTTGACACCTGGGAAATGAAAACATTGAGAGAAAGATGAAGCAAGACCAGCATCCCTGGATTCCGCTACCAGGATGTCTTCAGTACCTTCCTGGAGCCATGGACGGCAAAGGCTGGAGGGACGCGGGGCACTGAAAACAG